GAAAAAAAAAAGGCAGCTTTTTTCATGAGATTCCTCATTGGAGTCAATGGTTTGAGGGCCCAACTCAATACTTGCCCATCAGATTCCTGGTGAACACATGCATATCCACCAGCACTCCCATGCACATCTGCTCAAGGACCCCCATTTCCACACCATAGAGTAAACAAGTGTCATTCCCTAAGGTACCATGGCCTAAGATCTGAAACTGAAACCCCACTCATACAACAGTCTTCCTCACTGAGACACCAATGAATGGGTGTATGACATAGAGAACCCAGCCCTGTGTGGTCTGAGCCCGCGTGGGCGAGCGTGTGGTTTGGAAGCGGCGCAGAGCAGAAGGGCACTTACGGTTGGCACAGCTTGATTAGGTCCTGGTCAGTGGTGCCTGGTGGGAGGCCTCGAATGTACAGGTTGGTTTTACTCAACTGTTCCCCGCTGCTGTTGTTGCTGCTGTTGTTGCTGCTGCTGTTTGTGCTGGGGCTGGGAGGAGCCATGGGGTGGGGAGCTGGTGCATAGGACTGCTGGAAACAGAAAAGGCTGTTACTGGAAAAACAAAGCCAGCACCTATCCCAGGCCAGCAGAGCACCTGAAAGCAACCAACGCAAGCACCTCGGCCTCTCCAATCCACACACGCACACACATATATCACTACTCTGGGGACTTCTGGGAACAAAAGACACCTTTCCCCCCTTGGCCCTGTATTTGGAGCTGCAGAAGCTTGCCATTAATGGGACATAAAGAAGTTCCCAGGTGCTCCTGACAGTAGCCTATGGCTTCGGAGTGTGTCCACTGTGATTCTCCTTAGTTCTTTAAAGCAGCGTGTTATCTCCCTCTCTGACAAAAGAACACAGTTCCCTCTTGACACCAAAGCTCTGCCCAGGACACGTTTGCTAGCCCAGCATCTTTGGTTTGCCTCTACCCTCGGTTCCCTTCTCTTCTCCAAAGCGACTCCCTGAGATTGTTTCCTCAGCTCTACTCTCCAGCTCAGTTCCTGATGCACAGAAATCACTCTGTGAATAGTGATTCTACAAAGAAACAAGCAAGTGAGTGAGTCTATCTTATCTCTCTTCCCTCCTCCCAAACCTGCTTCTTCACAGGAAAAATGACTTTGTCAGCAAGACTCGGCGGCCAGTCTCTCCCTCCAGTCAACATTCCCTTTATTTCCCTCTACTCCAGGGTCTCGACCTAGACACCATTGACCACGTGGCCAGGATAATTCTTGGCAGTTGGGGCTGTGTTGCTCATCACAGGGCAGTAGCAGCATCCTTGGCCTTTACCCTCAAATGCTAGCAGCATCCATCTCCCAGCTGCGACAACCAAAACTGTCTTCATGCACTGGGAGTAAAATCTTCCCCAACGGGAAACTCCTTCTCTAACCTGTCACACTCTTTTACGACAAAATGGAAATGATAAAATGACCTCCAGCAACTTAGAATATACAATGTCAGGGTCTTTATAATTACACATGCCATAATTAGTAGATATATTACTCATTATATGTCATCTCTTTTTTATAGCCATATCGTCAGAAGTTCTAAAATTACACCGACTGTCTGGGTTGGAGTCCCTGCTGCATCTCTTATTGACTGTGTGACCTTTGGATGGTGCCTTAGCCTCTCTGAGACTCAACATTCTCATTAATGCGAGGAGGGTAAAAATAGTACTCTCCTGTGTCATAGGGTTTTTACAAAAACTCAATGATCTAATGCAAACAGAATGGTTCCTGGAATTTAGTAAGTATACCATAAATGTTAACAATAACAAAAATGTAATAATGATGATGATGATGATAAGGATAATATTTGTCATTTATATCTGTATTGACAGTGATATTAGTCTGTCTAACTATCCCAGCTATTCTCAACTCTAACCCAGAATGCTACCTAAAGGCACAATAAACACATTCATCAGATTCCTATGGGGACATTTTTGGCTGAGTTTTAACCTGAAGACGAGTTAGGTGCTTTATCAGGGGTGGGAAGTATGTACTTATCAAACAGCAAGTAGGTGCTTAATAAACATTTAGGCTACATGATGTACAATACAAATTGAACTAACACAGCCTTTAACCCATACAAAAGGCCACACTTTAGCAGCAGCCCAGCTTGTTTCCTGCTATAACACTGTGTTTAACACACATTTCCAGGATTTCAGATTTGCCTGAGTCCACACTTCCAACTAAGACAACGCCTCTTAGATGCAGTTTGTCACAATGCAACTCGTAATATCTGCTTTCATCTCCCACCTTTCCACACCAGCCACCCATCACAATTGCCCTGTTTTTTCCATGCCCCTGCCACTCTTCCAGCCTCCATGCTAGCAACCTTGGCATTAGCTTCATCTGTTCCCTAATCCTAAATCTCAAAATACGGTCAGCTGCCAAAAATCTCTAAGAGGTTTCTAGAATCACCCTTTTCTTCAAATTCCTACTTTTTCCCTAGGCCAGGGTCTGAACCGCGTCCTACACAAAGGACCTCAAGCTTCCTTGCTGGCCTCCCTTCCCTCGGGCTCTCCTCTTACTTACGGGGGGTTCTGGGGTGGGAAGAATGGCAGAACAGGTAAATGCAGACACAGGGTGGTCAAGGGTGGATTAGGCAGTTTGTTTAAGCAACGGGGAGGTGACAGGGCAGAAATGACAGGAGTGAACCCCAGAGACTCTAACGCCCTTCTTTGAAATAAACATTTTCTCAACCATTTCTTTAGTATTAATTGGTTACCAACATTTTTTTTGTGTAGAATTTTAGAATGAATTACACAGGAGACTATTTTCTGTTCCCAATATTTGAATAAAACGACGTATTCGTTGCCTTTTGGAATTTAATATCTGCATAAAGATTCTTGGTTGCACATGAAAAATTATCCTTCCTGACTGAAGAATTGTGCTTTTCGCACCTGGGACATCCCGTAACACTTAAGCCCTACCTCTTTACAAGCCCTGCGCTTAGTAGGCGTTCAGTACATCTGGCTGAAGTAGCATCCTGGCCTTTGTGTCTTGCAATGGGACAGATGAAATTTATCTTTTACATCCCATGTGCTTTCTTCTCTTAAATTTCCCAGGGCTTTTTTTTTTTTACCACTTTTACCTCCCCTCCCTCTAAATTCTTTGAATTCCGTTCTGTACTCAGGCTTCTTTTAAAATGAGTCTTTGTTTAAAGCAGTTGTTCCTCCTGCCCAGCCTTTTAAACCACCAGAGAGCCGGGAACATGTCTCCAGCGTCCTGTATCGCAGATGAGATGGACCAGTTCAGGGAGCCCTTGACTGATCAAATACGAAAGCACCGTCTGCAGGATGATCAATATATGTTGACTTAATTTTTTTGTTTTCCCTCAGGGGTCTGTGCGCGAATTTTACACAACTGGAGCACCATTTAGTAAATTGCATGGTGCCTAAAACAATAAATGTGCCCTGCAAAGGGCCCAGTGTATTCACTGGGGTGAAAAAAATTAAACAAACAGTCAAAAGCAAATCAAAGCTGGAATCAGCAGTGGCAACTTGTGTGCACTGAAACAAGGTACGTACTTTATAAACAGGAGCAGAAGCAGCAGATTGTTGTGGAGAAAGGATGTATTTCAAAAGCCCTTTGATGAAACTATACAAAGGTGGCTTTCTAGGTCGTATTCTTGTTTGTGAGTCCTAGAAATTCTGCTGAAAGGGGTAGACTTTCTGGGTGTTATGGAACCAAGTAATCCATAGATTTTAAGACCCAGTTCTGACACCCCTGCTAATTCTTAATATTTCATTTATGTGTTGATGATACACTGAATGATTCAGGTAGCAGTCTGCACTGTAAATCACTCTTTGGTTTTGAAAATTATAAATTCCTTCCTCTCCATCCATTTTCAAAATACACATCTTTTAATCAACAAAACATTGGCTGAAGGTTCCGGGAATGTCTGACAAATGCACAGGCTGAAATGAATTAATTTGTGAAAAGCAAGAGAGGTTTTGTATGCTCTGGCTGCCAAAGACAAATGACTAAACTACAGCATCTTAAAAAAAAAAAAAAAAGGGAGCATCAATAATCTTTAGGGGTTAATGGGTCACAGCAGCCACTTTCCTGATTAAAAGTGGTTAAACGTGACTGATTCCTTTCTCAATTCTCCCTCTTTAAATGAACTTGGAATTTTATCATTGATTAGCTTTTAAATCATTCTGAAGCACTGAGGAAGAAATTTTGAAGTGGTAGTAAAAAATATTTGCTGTACCGCTCAAAGCCACGCTTATAAACCCTCGTTGGGGTGGTGAAGACTTAGGGCCTGGGGTTCCTGAACGCTGTAACCCTGAGCTGCAGCAGCCCAAGGGGTTGCTATGAATTTGCAGTGTCTGTTGGTTAAAACTAGTAGAAACGGCAGAATTTTAAAAGAGGGGCTTGGGATGGCACTCCCGTTGAAGCGGGGAGATAGAAGACTTCTCTGGAAGCAGAAGCTGCACATGCTCGGCAAGCAGGCAGATTTCTCTTAGATGTTTATTCATGATGGCACTGCTAGGAGGGTCTGTTAGGGATTATGGGAGGGGGACCGAAGCCTTCTTAGTCACATGTTGGGGCTGCGAAAGCAGTGTAGTCTTTAGAAAATCAAGTAAAATGACTTGGCATCCATTTTTAAAGGAGTTATTCTTAAGGTAAAGATTCTAATAATCACAGGTAACATTTAGCCTGTGCTTGCTAAGCATTTTTTTAATTGATTTTTAGAGAGATAGGAAGGGAAGGGAGAGAGAAGCATGGATTTGTTGGTCTACTTATTTACACATGCCCTGGTTAATTCTTCTATGTGCCCTGATGGGGAATTGAACCCACAACCTTGGCATATAGGGATGATGCTCTAACCAACTGAGCTACCCAGCCAGGGTCTTGCTAAGCATTTTATACGTTGTCTTCATAACAGCCTAATGAGGCAAATGATATTCATCTCAGTTCACAAATGAGAAAACTGAGGCACAGAAAGGGCAAATGGTTTTCTCAAGGTCACAAGGCTGGAACCCCAGTTTGAACTGAGGGAGTCTCATTCCAGAAGCCATGTAGTCCCCAAAACACTACAAACTTCACCTCTTAATGACAGGGGGCCAGTAAACCCAATCGGCTTCCTTGCAGTGAGCCCTGGAGGCGGACAGCTCTGGTGAGCCATGTGTAACCGGGGAGAAGAGAATGATGATGCTGAACAGCACACGGTCAAAAGGAAGGTTAACAAGCTCCTTCCCTCTCTCAGCATTTAAATAATGGCAATCTTAAAGTTTAATTTCGAAGGGGAAGTGCCCATCAGAAGCAAGCATATTATGAGTTTTTCAAATAATGTCAAACTAGTGGGGTTCATTTGTCAAGATTCATGGCTTGTTATTTAATAACAGGAAAATGAACTGGCTTGTAGATCACCCTAAACAGCTGATTCATTTAGTGTGCTTTGTTAATATGCCTCATTTTTCAAGTTTGAAAAGTGAGTCAACCCGGGCCTCCTACATTCTTGTAAATTGTGTGGTCTGTGCCTGTAGGTTTGGAGAAAGGTTCATTGTCTTTTTTACCCCCTAT